TATTCCTACCATCTGGTTATTTCAACAAGTTATCTGTTTTCTTGTTTGTTTGTTTGTTTTAACACATCATTATGCCTATTCGTCTCATAACCTATTCAAGTGCGTTTATGAAATGTTTACAACATTTTGCTGTACAAGTTACAAAAGAACTCAATCAGAGACATTATGGTTACTGGCAATATGTATCGAAAAGGATATACATTAATCAGATATCGATTCTTGAACCGCTAACATCTAACTGGTGATCACTCAATATTAATCGCAAGGAACTGATCAAGAAATAAGAAACGAGAAACTTGTTGAAATACTTTGTGCTGACAATTCTATATTGTATCAAAAACTATACTATTGAATAAAGCCACTAATACTAATAATAATAATTATCAAGATAGATCATGAAAGGATTGTTCTCATTACATATGAACGAAACATTCAATGTAAAGTTCGTTCATATGATTCTTTATCTTCAACTTTGTTCTACAAGAAGTGGAATACAAATTAAGAAAACATTGTTCTGTTAGATTAAGATACTTTATCAATCCTTATCAATGATCATATATTAGATTACATGACAGAGATCTATTTGTCTTATACTAATGAAACTAACCTTTAACATAGACTGTTTCAGAAAAATAAAATAAATCATATTATTTTTATGTGACTCATTAAGAATTTCCATGAGAATTTGTGGAGATTGTATTATGTTTATAGTTGAATACATGAGTCAAATTAAGCTAGATCACCATAGAAAATCTGGAAGTATTGAACGGCTTTTCCGTCATAATATGGAACTTTGAATCAATGAATATCTACGACCCCGAGTTTGTGCACAAGATTTGTAGTTTTAGGATTCAAATATGGTACTGTAATATGACTATCTCATTAATATGGAAATCTTCTTTTTTTTTGACTTAATCAGAGCTCTATTGTTTCATCAAATCAAAATTTATCAAAATCTATTTAATTAATTTGGCACAATCTTCATACATATTTCTATGAATAAGTTTCCTATTACATCACAATCATTCATTACATGCAACAGTCAAATGTTCATAAATAATACAAACGTTTACTTATAAAGTTAATGAAATCAAGCCTAAATATAATAACAATGAAATCATTTGTATTATTTATTCAATAGATGAATTCATGAATCAATTGAAGCTAGACCAACATAGAAAATCTGGAAGCATTAGAAAACCGTTTTGTCTCTGTATAAGACTCAACAGTAGTGTGCACTTACGATCCAGTTGAGTAGTGTAGGAGTTAAGCGCACGAGAGGAAGATTGATATGTTCTGGTTTAAAATCTGATGAGGCGCGATCATCGATGCGCACTACTGAAGAGTACTACAATAGGACGAAACAGCTGTCTAGAGTTTCGACGATGTTCATGATGATCTAGATTCAACTGATTCATGAGGTCAATCATTAAATCTACTACATTTCAAATATCTTATATAGACTGAAGAAAATGTATTCTAACCCCTGTTTATTCTTTTCATGTTATATTACTAATAATCTTTCATGATGTGTTAACAAATCTGCTTACTGATTATATTGCGAATGACCATCCCGAATTGGTAATTAATCTTAGATGTTGTTAAATGAGATATTGGTTTTACATATAATAGATCTTACATGAAAATATGTTTCAAAACAACAAATTAAATTGCATTATGTTTATTTGACTCGTTGAAATATTTGCATGTGGACTTGTGTAGATTGTCGTATGTTCACAGTTGAATTCACGAGTCAATGTGATCTAGATCACCATTGATAAGCTGAAAGCATTGAACAGCCATTTCGTCCTAATATAACACTCTACATCAATGAGCATCGATGATCCGACACACGGGACTTGATTCTATCGCCTTCGGTTCAATGCTTCCATGATTGCAATGATTGTCTAGCTTAGATCATCTCGTCAATTCAATGATGTCATTACAAATTACATTTGAGATCATTTTCTTGAAATCTCACTGAGGAACACAGATTAAATCAATGGTAATTTGACACAGTAAATAAACCATACCATTATTTGAGATATTCTCCACTCTATTCATATATTTAAATCGATCTATTCATTTCAAACTATCTTGTTATCCGTGAATGGTTACATGATGATATGTTACAAGAAGAACTAAACACCAATCAAACAGTTGGTCAATAATACATGGTTTTCACGAAATCGTTGTTGGTAATCTGTGTGAATAGCACCATTTTTTTTTACAAAATATATCAAAATATCTAATAATCACTATCGAATTATCCAATCACCTTACTTACTTACTTTCTTGCTTACTTACGCCTGTTACTACCGATGGAGCATAGGCCGTTGACCAGCATTCTCCAATCCACTCTGTTCTCAGCTTTCCTTACCATTTCTATCTAATTCTCATTCATTCTTTTCATTTCTATCTCCATTTGACGGCGTAATGTGTTCTTTGGTATTCCTTTTATCCTCTTTGCCATTGAAAATTCCAAGTGAGGGCTTGCGTTGTGATGCAGTTCAGTGCTTTCCTCAATGTATGTTATATCCACTTCCAGCCCTTTTTCTTGATTTCTTCCTTCATTGGAATCTGGTTTGTTCTCTTCCATATTAGGTTGTTGCTCATAGTGTCTGTTCAACGGACTTCAAGTATTTTATGTAGACAACTGTTAATAAAAACTTGTATATTTTAGATTACGGTTTCCAGGTTTCCACCTCATACAGTAGAACTGTCTTGATATTTGTATTGAAAATTCTGACTTTAGTGTTGGTTGACGGACAGTTGTTTTGTGTTCCAGTTATTCTTTAGTTGTAAATATTCTACTCTTGCTTTGCCGATCCGCTTCTTTACATCTGCAACAGATCCATCCAATTCATCATGGATACTATCATCCGATCACCAGAGATAAGATCATGTTTGTTTATAATACACAGAAAATGGATCATTTTTAATCATTGACATACGTTACAATCATTCGTATATTTGCTAAAAATAACATTTTAATTATATCTATTTAAAATGTATTTAATAGACAATAAGATGGTTCAATCTCATCTTAACACGTATTTAAGTTATAAATAGAATAATGTCTATTATAAAATATTCAAGGTAAAAACATCTTCATTGATTTTAATACTCCTTTAATGATCTCTTTCCATATATCATTGATTATACCTTAACAACAAAATGTAAAAAGAATAAACCAAAACAACAACAAACAACAACAAAACATATCCTCAATTATGATCGATAAAAAAAATCAAAATCATGTTGAATAGGTAATTTCTATTTGATATTCACAATATTTCATGTGTTTGTTATCATTGATTAATCACTGGGTAGTGATCAATGTCATGCGTGTCTAGTTCTTATACATAATGCAGATTGAATCCTATCAACCATGTTGTAATGTGGCCACCAGTCTAGGTGACTTGACACTACGGGCACTATTGTAAGATTAGATGGTAGTTGGAGGTAGTCGACAGGAAACCCTGGACTCGGGTTTTGTGCTACTTGGCACTCGTCAGCAAAGTGTATCTGTAATCTTTGAGGGAGGAGGTCGTAGCCCAGATAGTTCAGTGGTAACATTTCTCACTGTGTAGCTAGATGACACGAGAACGAATCCGCCAGGGAGTACCACTTCCTTCAAAGAATACAGGTACACTTAGCTGACGAGTGCCATGTAGCACAAAACCCGGGTCCATGGTTTCCTGTCGACTACCTCTAACCACCATTTAATGTGTTTGTTTTGGTACCTAAAAAAACTAATACACTAGTAATGTAGTGAACGTGAACATCAGAAAGTGAGATAACTAAATGTAGGTAAACCTAAAATTACACAATCTCTTAGTACCATCTTAGATCAATACATTCAATAACTTCATTTGTAAAATATCAATCCATTATTTCAGATTTTATTATTCGCTCGTTTTTATACCAATCATATTCACTTCTCTTCTATCTTCTCAACTTTCTGCCTTTAGGTATTCCACTTTCAATTGATGATACATACTACTTATATCTGATGACACCAATAGCATATATCACACTATTAACTGATAAATTTATCCTACTTTATCTAATCTATGATCTGTGGGGTTTTTTTTGTTTTATAAACGTTTTGTAGCTTATTTACATATATATATATATATATATATATATATATATATATATATATATATATATATATATATATATATATATATATATATATATATATATATATATGGTTGGTTACTGTGAGTATCATCAAAACTATCTTGGTAATTATTCAAAATTCTATGAATTATTTCTACCATAGTATTCAACATTGTTTTCTGTTGTTGTTATTTTTGTTGTGTGTGTGCGTGTGTGCGTGTGTGCGTGTGTGTGTGTGTGTGGTTGTGGTTGTCAGATTTTAACGTCTAGAATAAAAATTTGCTAGTATCATGACTTTTGTTTATTAAAGTAAAAGTATTTAACACAAACATATTGTAACATTATGAATAAATAAATATCTTTTTTTCGGACATATATAGATAGATAGATATCCATAGACATACATTGTATCTAGGATAGCAACAAACAATGTTAACCAGGTTCTGTCTTTTATTTTTTTTTTTTTTTTGTTGTTGTTGAAATTTCACTCTAATCAATTTTAAATTTATAAATAAAACACTAGTTGTTAAAATTATTACCATTTTAACTGTTCATATAAATATGAATGTTTGTAAAATTTTATTGAATATTATAAAACTGACTTATTTACTGATTGACTTACGCCTTTTACACCTCGTGAAGGAGTATAGACCGCTCATCAGCATTAACCATCCAACCCTGTCCCAACCAATCTTTTCCAGTTCTTTCCAATTCTTATTCATCCTTTTCATATATGATTCTATTTCCGGACGTAATGTGTTCTTTGACCTTCCACTTTTCCGCTTTCCTTCAGGATTACAAGTTAGCGCTTGCCTCGTGGTGCAGTTTGATGATTTGAGTAATATATGTCCTATCCATCATCATCGTCTTTTCCTAATTTCCTATTCATCTGGAAGCTGGTCGGTTCTCTCCCACAAAAGGCTGTTTCTGATGGTATCCGACCAATCGATGTTGAGTATCTTGCGTATACAGATATTTATAAATACTTATACCTTCGTGATGGTGGTTGTTGTAGTTCTCGGTTTCAGCTCCATTGAAGATTCTCACTTTGATGTATGTTGACAGTCGTTTTGAGTTCCATACGTTCCTCAACTTTATCAATGCACCGTTTGTGTTGCCATTCCTCGTTTTCACTTCTCCATCAGATCTTCCATGTTCATCAATCATGCTATCCAGGTATGTGAAGCGTTCTACATCATCCAGAGTTTCATCATCAAGTGTAATTAAGTTTGTGTTCTTCGTGTTGTATTTAAGAATGTTGCTTTTTGTTTTGTGTATATTGTGGCTTACTGATTCAGAGGATGCTGCTACACTAATTATCTTCATCTGTATTTCTTCGTGTGTATAGGATAGACAAGTCAGATCATCTACGGAGTCCAAAACTTCTAATGGATTCTAAGCTGTACATTGTAATCAAAATTTATCCTTCTATACATAAACTAATTGTATTTCATAATATAAAGTAATTTTCTGGCTATAAAAATTGTTGTTTATCCCATGGGATCAAAAAAGTGAATAGATCATTTGTAATAAATCGACATATTTGAATGTATAGCTACATTGAACAATGAACAACAACAACAACAACAACCACAACAGAAAGAACGACTGCATAATTTGATTATTATGATTATTATTATGTGAATCTAATTGTAGAAGTTTATTAACCTTCATCATATCAAATCAGTAATACTCCCTTGATACTTTACTAATAACACTAGTTTTATACATACATAAGTGAATTATAATTGTAGTAAATATACTTTTATTTATTCTTGATAATGAGTTAATCAAAGCTAGACTATCATGGACAACTTGAAAATAATAGATGGTCGTTTTATCCTATTGTGGTACTCCTCAGTAGTGCACATCTATAATCCTGGTTCTGGGTTTGAATCTCATAAGGCAGAATAGATTTGTATTTAGATTATCACTAGTAAAAGAAAGTAATAAATAGTTAGTTTTTAGTCAACTTTAAAAGTTTTCAGAAAAGTACATTCAATTTTTGGTAAAGCACTAGATGATGGTTTCGTTGTAGTATGGAAATCTTCATTAGTACGCATTTATGATCTCATACGTGTAACTCGAACTCAATACATTTGACCTAGCACATCAACGCTTAACTTCAGTGGTTTATAGGTTAAGCATTCGTTTATGAGACCAAAGATTCTGGGTTCGAATTTTATGTTCAGAATCATACAGACGTACTCGTGAGAAGTTCTATTTTAGAACGCTACAGTCACCATAAATCCCCGTTATACACCATATAAGTTGGTTTAGATTCAAATAAAAAGTAAGAAAATCTCATGATTTAATGTTTTTGTTTGAAAGAATTGAATGCTTACATTACAAAGCTTCTCAATAAATCACTTTTATAGATCATTTTTATTTACTTATTTAAACAAATAAACATTGATACATAAATCATTCGATTTATATGTGGACTGGAATATTATTCGGTTACCCAAAATGAAGCAGGTGATTCTCTTAAGGAGCCGCCTACAGAGCCTTTGATCTAAATGTCTAATCAACAAGACAGTGGAGCAACGTTGAGAGATGCAGTCCTATGGTAGCCAGTGACCAACGATTGGTTCATACGCTATTTTGTTCTTTTAGGATAATGTAGCCTATGTGCACTATTGGTTTAGAATCATGGCTTTCCAACCCCCCTCCCTTTAAGTGCCAAACATTAGCTTTACGTCCTCTCAATTTTGTAAATAACATCCTTACCACGAGAAGGCATTGAGTAAGACTTCCCTGGCAGTGGTTGTATGCACGTGTTGCCTGTTGAGAGTATTTCAAAAGACAGAACTGACTCTCCATACTCTCAACTGTACCAGAGCATTTAGAGATTCTATAAATAATAATTATAACATAATAGATTGACAATACAGTTTTATTTTCAATGATTATCAAAAAATAAAAATTACCTAATAATGTAAACTGACATATTTACAACCATTTGAATAGACCATTTGTATTCATAGTGTTTCAATATCATTAGTATAAAAAAACAAACAAAAACAAAACAAAAAAGAGAAATATACATTCAATAATAATTTCATAGGTAATTTAAACTAAACATAAACTTTCTATCTGTCATCATCATTCACAAATTGAAGTAAAAAAAAAGAAAAGAAAAGAAAAAAAGAAAAAAGAAAAAAAAGAAAAAAGAAAACAAAGAAAAAAGAGTATAAGTCTACCCAAAAAAAACAAGCAAAAATAAAACACCAACTGACAATTGATGAATTATTGTTAACCCAATTTTTTCTTTAAAAAAAAAGAAAAAAAAGGAAAAAAAGAAGAGAAAACATAAAAAATTAAAGCTTTTTCGTTAACTCAATTAATTTTGAAAAATTCTATTTTAATTCAACAATAACTTGATTATTTTGATGTTTTTCTGAAGAAAAATTATATGAAAACAAAGAAAAAAAATGAAAAAAATGAAAAAAAATAAAAAAAACGGAAAAAAAAATTTATTTAAAAATATTAAGGTCAAAAAGAAGAAAATAAAAATAAATAAATAAATTAGGTCATTTAATTATAAAAATATCAAAAAGAGAATAGGATAAATGACATTGAAAACATTCATTAACTAATTACATTTATCTTATGATTATGATGATGATGATGATTATTATTTTTCTTTTTGTTTTCTAGTTTTGTGAGTAAATAAAAAAAGAGAAAAAAAAAAGAAAAAAACAGATCAATTTCAATAAATTTTTTTATGGTAGATTTGTATGGATAAATCATTTTGAGATTATGTAGTTATGAGCGAAACTGATTAGTACTTGGTTTGGCCCTCAAGTGCCCTGGTACGGCCGAGAGTGGGGAGAGTACGCTCTCTCTCTCTCTCTCCCTTTCCAAATGCTCTCACATGGTCACGAGTATATAGCGTCTGCCAGGGAAGTCCTACTCACTGCCTCCTCACACTATGGGTGTTGTTTACGAAAATGAGAGGACAAAAAGCGAATGTCCGGCACCGGCTTTAACTAGATCCCAAACTAATGATGCACATGGGCTGGCTCCAGTATCCTGAAGGGATAAATGGTGTATGAATCAATCGTTGGTCACCGAATACGATGGGACTGCATCTCCTCACGATGCTCCACTGCCTTGAGGGTCAGACCTTTACGTCAAAGGTTCGGGGTGTGGCCCTCTAAGAAAACCACCTGCAGTATCAAAGCCTTCACACATATCAAATGAGATCTGTGTGACGCATATGTATTCGGTGCCTTTCTGTACCAATATCTATGTATTAAAATAAGTAATAAATAAATAACTTCTTGGTTTGAATCTTGTAAGGTGGGATTGTAAATGTACACTATTGAAGAGTTCCACAATAGGATGAAACAGTTATCTAGTGTTTTTACGTTTTTGATGATGGTCTAGCTTCAATTAACTCATGATCTTAACTAATAAAAAAAACAAGTTACAAACTACTTATTTTCAACTATCTGTAATCAGAATATAGTCTATATAATGTTTAGTCATTTACATTGTTTACCATATCATAGCTTATACATTTAATTATTGTTCGGTGGTTGATCAAGTTAAAACAATAACTTAAGTAAAGTTTAATTCACTTAATGATATTGTTTTACTTGAATCTTCCCATTAATGTTTAGGACTGAAATTGATCTGTCTCTCTTATTAGCATATGTGCATACTATGAGTATTACCTTGATATTGCCTTAATTTACAAGCATTATAAGCAAAGATGGATGGTGGCTAGCAGTGGAATCCAGTCTAAGGCGCGTTTCGTCCTGTTTGTGACTCGTCAGTGGCTGAGTGGATAACGCGATGGCGTTTAAAGCGAACGGTACTTGGTTTGAGTCCCAGAGTGAACATCAACAAGTTGGAGATGCAGGTAAATCCAGCTGATGAGTCCCAAATACAACGAAACGAGCGTCCTGGATTCCACTACCAGCGACTATCCATCTTTGCCAATTAAGTAAAGTTTGTTTATCAATCAACTGAGTATTGATCATCACAATCAATTTAATTTTAAAGATGATACCTTTGATACTGATCATGAAACTTTTATAAAATTAGCCTATAATATATATGTCCAAAGAAATAATATCTCCTTTATTACACTTATTTCTCATCTCTTCAGTTGATTATTGCTTCATCGGCATAGGATTCTACATAATAAAAATGTTACTGAAGTATTTCTAAAGATTCAGACTGAATAGTTTTTCCATGGATACAGTAAATTTTGTCAAATAACTATTATGAACGCATTATAACCAAAGATGGATAATGGCTAGAATTGGTTAGCTGGACCTACCAAATCTAAGAACTGATATTCACTCTGCGACTCGAACCCACTGTCGTTCAATTTAAACTCTATCACGTAGTTCACTTTCTTGCATATATGCTAATAATATGTGTATATTTTGTTAATTTTTAACTAAAGAAACAACTGGACCTATTATGGTTTACTATAATTATCTTTACGGATTGAATAAAGCAGTGACCAGTGGAGTTATTCCGTGTCGAGTAGAGACAGGTATCTACCTCAGTACAATGGAAAATCGTCGCTGAATTTTGTGGATTGGTTGAAGTTAGACGGATGCCGGCTCGGTGGTCTATGGGTTAAGCGTTCGCACGCGAGATTGAAGGCCCTAGGTTGGAATCCCGCGACTGGAATCGTGAATGTACTTTGCTGAAGAGTCCCGAAATAGGACGAAACGGCCGTCCAGTGCTTCCAAGTTTTTGATGATGGTCTAACATCAATCAGTTCATGATCTCAAACAATAACTGAATGAAGCAATTGAACTTACTTAATACAATTACGTAATCATTATTTTTTATTCATTGTAACTATAAATTACCTATTCAGTAATGAGATTATTCTGAAAAGTAACTACTTAAAAAGGCAATAATAAGTGAAATATTAATTTTAACATGTTTGTTAATAAATGTATATAATAAATCAGAATGGGGATTCATAGCTAGGTGGACTAGAGGTTAAGCATTCAAGCGTGAGACCAAGGCTCTTAGGTCTGAGTCCTGCGTATGCGATCCTTGATATGCACTGCTTCCAAGTTGTGAATGGTGGTCTAACATTCATGTATTATATGACTTTCAATGGTTAAGATCATGAGTCAGTTGAAGCTAGACCACCATTGAAAACCTGTAAGCACTGGACGGCCGTTTCGTCCTATTATGGGACTCCTCAGTGGCAGTGCGCATCCACGACCTCACTCCCTGCGAGACTCGAATCCAGGACGTACTGGTTTTGCGCTCGAGCACTTAACCACTAGACGATTGAGCCAGCCGGCATTCAACGGTGTTAATGTCTAACTTCAAGCAATCCACGAAATTGAGCGACACATCCACTATTGTCTTCAGTGAGTTACTATCTCACAACAGACCTGGTTGAACTCCACTGGTC